AACACAGGGATGGATTTTTCCAGCCGACAACGAGGACGGTGGAAGATACTTCCCAGCAAGGTCACCTTCAGCACCCCGCAGAGCAGGTGTTTACACCTTGACTCCGCACCTGGGCCAGGGGACTCACCGGGCGCCTCCAATCTCCCCCGGCGTCGCGTCCACGGCCTTCCCACCACTCCGACGTGGTGCGAGGGCCGGGTCTTGGAGCCCAGGCTGTGGGCGCTCAGTCTGCTGAGTGTGAGGGGCCTGTGGTTTGCAGGTACTCCAAGGGGCTCCCGGAGCGGGGGGACCGTGTGCCCCGCTGGCGTCATCCACTCCCTCCTTCCTGCCAGAGAGCCGCTTCCTCCCCGGGCCCCGGGTGGCTGCTGTGGACGCTGCAAGCCGGAGCAGGCCCCTCCTGGCCGAGGCGGCGCCCGCGTCCCCGGAGCGCAGGCCCCCCCCCGGGGCAGGGGTTAGGGCCTGCTGTGCTGACGCTGCCCACAAGGCAACCGCGCTGCAGAAACAACACATCCCTTCCGCTAAATTTGCATTTCTGAAGTCAGGTGGGGCTGGATAAACGAGCTATTAACTGGATTAGGAACAACTTTTCTGGGGCGAGGGTGTAGCCAGTGGTAGAGCACGTGCTTAGCACACACGAGTCCTGGGTTCAGTCCCCAGCACCTCCGTTAAAAAAAAAAATAGCAAATAAATACATACCCCCCCAAAACCAAACCACCACAACGAAAACAAAGTTTCTGCATGCTGGCAACAACCAGGAAGTGTACCGGGAGCTGTCACCTCGCTGGCTGAGGCGCTGCTGAGGGCCGACGGACCCGCGTCACGCCAGCAGCCGCGCCCACCCAGGACGGCCCAGCACCTGCTGTGTTCCAGCTCGTCCATCCTTTCACAGCCGAGCGGCGGGCGCAGGGAGCCCCTGAAACAGACGGCAAACCGAGGCCCGGCGGCCAGGGACCCCGCCCGGGCCACACAGGGCCAGTGGTTCACCTGGGTGGTCGGGCCCCAGCCCTGCCCTTACCTCCTGCCCCCCCGGCCCCCCAACAGCCGACTGCTCCACCGGGAGACAAAGTGAGGGGTGAGCACCGGCAGCCCAGCGTCACTGCAGGGGCAGAGCCCTGAGCACCCGAGGCCGCACAGGTTACCTTCCAGGGGCCGCGTCTACTTTGCCGCCTTGGGACTGAGTCTGCCAGTGACTCCTGCCTCCCTTCTGAGCTTTCAGAATGATCTCTTTTGATATAACGGAGCATTTTAGAATTTCAGGCTTGGCTTCCCTGTGTGAGAAAGGCTTAAGGGGTATCAGAGCACTTAACGGCCGGTGGGTCATCACACCGCCTTTGAACACACTGTTAATGAATCATTTATTGAACAGCAACCCCAAATATCACCCTCAGACCCCAGCGAGGAGTGAGAGGGCTCTGCGGGCGCAGCGCGGGTGTGTGATCCGTGCCCCAGGCGGGCCTTAACGCAGAGACACGTTCTGCCTGACGGAACCCTTCGTCCACACGACAAAGACCTTTAAGGGAAGAGGAGCTGAGCTTCCGCAATAAGTACTTGAGATTATCTACATTCTAGGCAAATAGGCTCAGCGCACGAGTCAACACAGACTCGATTTAAACGCTCAGTCATATAAATGGAGGCCTTTGGCCCTCAGTCTGGAACAGCGACTTTTCCAAGAAAGCGATGCTGTTGGTGTTTTCCTCTGAGCCACCTCTTCGCTCCGAGGGCCCCTTGAGGCTGCAGTGGTCAGAGGGCAGCCTCCCAGAGAGTGCCGCCCCGTGTCACGAGGGTCCCTGTACTCATCCGAGCCCCCAGGACACCCAGGGGAGGCCGGGAAAAGAGAGGATGTCCCTGCACCACGGGGACGTTGGTGGGCGCCTGGGGGGTGTCGACGGGTCTGCAAACCACATCCAGTTTCCGAGTTCTGTTCTTCCAACCCCAAGGGTCTCAGACTCTCATCTGTGTAAGAAACTGCCCGTTTTCCCGGGATATCTGGCCCTGGATGATGGCACAAGAAAGGGGTATCGTGACTGGCTGGGCTGGTGACCCTCCCCCTGGCAAGCCCCTGGCTCTCAGCCTTGAGCAGGGGCTGCTGGGCAGTGGGCCATCAGGGGACGGGTTGTGGTGAGGACAGGGCAGTTCCTGAGCCATCATCACCTGCCAGCCTCCCCTGCGGCTGGTGTGGCACCTGTGGCCTCAGCGCTGGTGGTGGCTGTGGGAGGCACGCGCTGGGCGTTGGGCCACTGGTCTCTGCTGTGGTCAGTGTGGGGGCAACAGGGATGCAGATCTGCCCCCAGGCTGGCTGTCCGCGTCCCCGGTGCAGCCCCCCAGCCAGTTCTGTGGTGACCCTGTGTCCCCCTGGTGGAGGAGAGGTGGCCACTGCTGCCACCCCATTGATATGGCGGCTTGTACTTAAGTAAACAGCTACATACCTAACTTCGCAGGAAAGAATCAGAGGTCCCGGCCCACGTGGGCCTCGTGTT